ACAATCAACGGTGGCCGCACCGTCTTCCGACATGCCAAGCTCGACCCCGGCTGCATCCAGCCCTACTGTAGTTATCGATGCCGATGAAGACGATCCAGAAAACAGTCGATCTGTTATTGGGAACGTTCGTTTGGAGGGTCAAAAAGCTGCCAAACGGAAACGCGCGGAAGACAACGCGATTGAGAAGATCATTTTGATGCAACGGGACCTTGTTCAGATCTCACGCGAACGGTTGTCCTCAATGCAAGCATCAATGCGATCATCGGCGGATGAAGCAGTGATGTCAAAGGATCTCTCTATGTTGGACGAAGACAGCCGTACTTATTATCAAAAGAAGAAGAGAGCGATCATCGCTCGCGAGATACAAGAGGAAAAAGAGATGGAAGAGAAAGCAAGAAAAGAGAGGGAATTGAAGGAGAAAAAAGAGAAAGAAGAAAAGCAGCGAAAGGAAAAGGAAGAAAAACAAGCGAAGGAAAAAGCGATCACGGCCCACAACGAGACCGAGGAAGAGGAAGATGAAGACAATGCCGAAGACGAAGCCGAGGACGAAGCCGAACCCGATGTAGAAGATGAAGCTGAAGCGACGGATGACGATGTGGACGAAGATCAATGAGGAAGAGGGCTCACTATCTCACTTATACAAACCCGACCTTGTTACTATCTCACTTATACAAACCCGACCTTTTTTTTTTGGTTTCATTTTTTATACATATCGCAATGATGAAATCAATTCATTTATTTACTAGTTTCATTTGCAAAGATAGTGAGAACAATTGAAAAAGTGAGATAAAAAAAAATGAGAGAAAAATTGGTAAAGAAAAACTTCAAGAGAGAGAAAAGAAGAAACAAGCAAGAAAAAAGATAAGAGAATAAAAAAGAAATAAAAAAGGGATTGAGAATCAATGTCGATGTGGATTAAACCTGGTCTGCCAGAGATTCATCTCCGTCAGAGCCATGTTTATTCCACAGATGATCAATGAGATCTCGCTGGAGTCGTCCATGTGACGCTTGATCTCTGATCGCTTGGTATCGCAACAAAAACTGATCAAACGACGAATCTGTTGGTCCGTTTGTCGTTATCGAAGCTTGTGTGCGTGGTGTTTGGTGGTAGATGAAGTCTCCCTCAAACTCGCTTCCGGCTTCGTCTTCAATAGTCATGTTGTGCAGGATTATTACGGCCGACATGATTGAAGAGAGGTCATCGTGTCGCCAAAATCGACCGGGGTAACGCACAATTGCATATCGAGCTTGAAGAGCACCAAAAGCTCGTTCTACATCCTTCCGGTAAGCCTCTTGCATCTTCGCAAAATGCTTCTTCTTGGCTCCTTGTGGTTCAGATATTGACTGGATCAGAGTCGCGTATGGAGGGTAGATGCCATCAGTCAAGTAATATCCGATATCGTATTGATTCCCGTTAACCTTGAACGAAACCGAAAGGCCTTCGCCTTCTTGAAGCTGCTCGAAAATGGGTGAGCGATCGAGTATGTTGATGTCGTTGAGAGTACCCGGCATTCCAAAGAATGCATGCCAAATCCATAGATCGTAAGAGGCAACAGCTTCAAGAACGACTGTAGGCTCCTTTTCCTTCCCGGTATACTGACCATGATCAGCAACTGGGCAATTCTTCCAGCACCAGTGCATACAATCTAACGACCCCATCATTCCCGGAAAGCCTCGCTCCTCTGCTACTGCCAAGAGCCTACGCGCATCGTCTTCATTTGGCTTTCGTAAGTATATGTGGCCGTAAACTTTAACAATAGTCTGGCAGAATTTTTTTAAACATTCAATCGATGTTGATTCACCTATTTCCCATCAAAGATATAATCAGATTTGTGAAAAAACAGATCAAAAGTATAAGAATTTAACTTACTCATGCGAAGATACTCATCAATAGAGTCCCCACCACATCCATATGCTAACATCCGCATGGCCGCAGTGCCTTTTTGAAGAGCCGAAAATCCAAGCCGTCCAGCTGCGTCTCGCTTTTGTTGAAAGTATCGATCGGCCTTTTCAATATCTTCAATGATTTTGATAAAAAGGCTCCTGCGCATCCTGAATCGGCGACGGAAGAGGTAATCGGGATAAACGCAGTCCTCGGCGAAGTAGTCGTTGTAAAGTTGCTGGTGTCCTTGAAGGCGATTCCGGTATATTTCCCTTCTTCCAGGTGTTGAACCACCACGTTCTTTTTTTTGGTTTGTCTTGAGAATTAAGGCTAATGTGGTTTGGAGGGAGGCCAGAACATCGTCATCGTCGTCCATCCATCGGAGGAGATCGTCCATGGTGTTGGTGATGCGAGACGAGGGTGGTAGGTGAATCCAGAGAAATGACTCGGATCGCTGCTCAAAGTGCCAGTCCATAACTGGAGCTGACCCGCAACCCGTGGGAATTGTGTTTGCGGCCCGGGGAACGCGCGTCAACTGCCCCCCGGACCGTTAGAGATGCTCTTAGAGGGGAAAAGAACAACTACACAGGAGAAAATGTGAGTTGAAGACTTGGATGCTGATGACGCTGCCCTCTTGTCAAGGCTTGGGAGAGAGTTACACTAAGAATTAAAGAAAAGGTGTGGCTATTTCTGTGGGTAATCTTAGTATGAGATTTATTACTGATGTCTTGTACAAGTCACCTGCTGAGAGATTGAGGATGTGGGGGATTCTGGTAAGGATGAGGCTCTGGGGGGTAATGGTTTCTGGGTCAATTTCTTATCTTCTGGGGAAAATAAATAATAATTACTTCTGGTAACTACTAGCAAGTGATGTCTGCTAAGTAATTATCTGTTTACTTCTCTCATGCAAGCATGGGGAACAAAGTAAGTGGGAAAGAGTATTCTATATATACATGTGGGTGGTTCTGATCAGATACTAGTGGTAAGATATCAGCTGAATTAAGAAGATGGTATGAAATAAGTTGTATCTGAAGGACAAGTGGTTATGAAATAAATGTGGCTGACAAATGTGTAGTGTGAAATAAACATGTTGAAAAGGAGAAAATATGAAGTAAATTCTGTTTGTGATAAAAATAATATGTAGTGCAAAAGAAATGAGATAATCATGACTGAAATAAATATTCTGAGGTGAGATGAGAAATCTGTGTGGTGAAATATATATGTAGGTGATATAAGCAATGAGTAATGAGTTGAAATGAGATGGATACATGAAAGAAATGTATTATGAAATAAACGTAGAATAAAATAAATGTAGTATGAAATAAATTTACTATGAAATAATTGTAGTATGAGATAATTGATGTATGAAATGAATGTTGTATGAAAAGAAGAGGATGAATGATGAGATGAGATGAGATAACCAATATTTGGGATGAAGCAAGCAGAAGTATGGAATGAAATAGTATATGTAGCTTGACTAATTGGTATCTGAGATGAAATAACTAATGTTTACTGAAAGATTATTATCATAGAAAGAAAGTACTGAGGGAAGACTAATTTGTATCTTAAGATGTGTGGTATGTAGTATGTTGTAGCTATGTAGTACTATATATTATGTAACCAAACTATGTGTAAAAACACTATTTTGTAACCTTCTGAACTGGATACAAGGTAATGCATTATGTAGTACAAGTATATCAGGTTGTAACATCATAAAAACTACTATGTATAACTATTTTGTACTATGTATGACCTTGATTGGTCTTACCACAACGGGAGGAAAAACTATTGATGAGCTGGTCTTAAGCCCAGTTCATCAAGAGGGTTTCCTCCCAATGAGCTGGACTGTGTACCAGCTCATTGGGAGGAAAACCTCTCAATGAGCTGGTCTTAAGCTTAGTTCATAGGGAGGGTTTCCTCCCAATGGGCTGGATTTGAAACCAGCTCATTGGGAGGGTTTTCTCCCAATGAGCTGCTATGAGTTTATAGTCTTCAGGCTTTGAGGAAACCCCTCCCAGCCTTGTTTTTTTCCTTTTTTCTCATGATTCTCTGCCGCCGTCCCATAGGACCCATGAAAAAATCATCCTCTCGTGAATTCAATTTAGAAATTTTGTTGTCTCATGATTAAGCTTTTCAAAGCTCATCTTATTGATTGTATTGTGTTTACATGGAGAAATTACAGTTTTTTTTTTAATTTTATTAAAACTTGGGTAATTTTGAGGCTGTTTTTATTGTACTAGGGGAAATGAATTCCAGAATCTATCTGAGAAAGTATTAGATTTAGAACTGGAAATGATAAGTTTGATGAAATTGACTGGTGTGAGAGGATCCAAATCTACAAAGAATATCCTGATCTGATCAAGAGACTTTCAAACTTTTATGCTGGGGCTGCAGAAAAAATCATCCTGTGCTGATTCTATTTACTATTTCTGTAAATTAGAAGTGAAATAAAAAACTCATCACATGAGGAAACTCTAGTGACTTTAATAGTATTTTATTTTGAATTTTGTCTGAATGTTGAGTGAAAGATATGAGAAAATCAGTTCCCAATACTGTGAAAAATATGGGAATTTCAGGTTTGTTACCAAAGTGATTTTTTGTGATTTTTGTTTGATTTTATGGTGACATGCAGTCACTGGGCAACCAGTACCCTGAAATTTCCCCTGGTGTCCGTCTTTGTAAGATCACTGTACTTCTGGAAGCCTGGTTTTCCAACCAAACCTTGAATTAAGGTAAAAACCTACCTCAGCCATTGAAAGTATACCAATTTTAAATTATACCCTTTTTTTATTAGATGCTCAAAACAAGGAGGGAAGTTGAATCAAAATTGTAGTAAATTGAACTGGATATTGTTTTCTTTATTGCAGTAGATGGATATAAAAGAGATAAACAGAGTCATAAATTTTCCCAACAATTTACTTGAAACATTCTAAGCAGAATAGTGTTGTACCTAAGAACAACAACAACAATGAAAACAGGAGGTAGAGATTTCCGGTAAAGAATTAAGGAATTCACAATATCTAGTAGTCTATAAGTTCACCCATGGCAGCTAATTTGATTTTTTTTTGTTCAGAAACAAATCTTGTTAATTGTGATTATCAAGAGCATCAAGGTTGGTCTAGGCAGATTGGTCCACTTTCTGGTTTTCTTTTCTGTTGTCGTATTGACGAGCAAACTTCAAGAAAAACAAGCCTTCAAGTCAGTTTATGTATGCACCTCTCAGTCATATTAAAATTCTCCAACTTGTGCTGAGAAGAAAAAAACTCACAGCAACAATGACATAAGAAGAAATTGCCAAAAATACACCCGCAGAGCTCCCTAACGTGACAGACACGACCTTTAGGGCAGGAAGCCAAACTTTTTTAGTCTTGGTGCACAAGTAGGTAGCTCCTATTTCCTTGCCCTGCAGATCATCAGCTGCTAAATCCATGATCCGAAAGTTGAATGAAAGTGTCCGATTGAACATTAATAACAAAGCTTCGGGTACTTTTTCCAGAGTTTTAGCGTGAGATCCGAATGGTAAAATTGGTCCAATACCATTGACAACGACTCGAAAAAAGCTGCAAAACTGTTCATGACATATAGTCTCATAGGTGTTGTTGAATACATCAAAGAAATTGCTTGGTTGTGTTGAATTGTCGATGAAGATCTTTCCTTGAGGCGGAGGAAGCGGTTGCGGAGGAAACCCTACATCATAATTGCTCAACTGAGTTGCTGGCATCAAACTGACTCCTCCCAGCCAAGTCCCTACTTCAGTAATGTCATGTGGACTGATTATCGGTTTATAGTTTCTGTAGTAATCTTCCTGCAGTTCACTATAATTTGGGGGGAAAGCTGATAGTGGCAGGGTATAGAGTGGTATCGGAAGCTGTGGATGAAAAGTGTCAAATCCACGACTGGAGCAGGTAAATTTAAAACCAATCAGATTCATTTGAAAATGCAAATTGGATCATGTTAGTGACCCGATAAACAATCTGCTCACTAAAGACCTTCGGCGCTCCACCAAAAATGGCTGGTTGATCTGCGGAATAAACTGATGTAGAAGGAAGAAAATGAGGATCAAGAATAATTTACAAGAGGAATTGGAGAATGTTGACAATGTGCTCTTACTCATCAGAAACTCCATTTAGAGAATTACAAAACTTGGCCTTCAGTGTACTATTACCAATGAAACAACTCCCGCAAAAACTGCCAAGGGAAACAAACGAGTTTCCATGATTAGAATCACAATGCATGGCTGCCAGAATGAGGATTTTAAGCTGGCTAAGATCTTACATGTACTGATTGTTTGCATCTTGGAATTGGTAAGTTGACTTGACAATGTTGGCCTGAAATACACGGCAGGCAAATCAACTGGTGCAAGACACAAATTCAAGAGCGTTGAATAAAAGATGAAAAACAACTCACTGTGCAGTTTGTTGTTTCTCCTCTATAGAAGAAACCTGTAGTGACCTTCCTTGATCCTACATTGGGTTGGTCTCCAACCTCCACCAGGGTCCATTTGAATGACATATTCGAGCGGGTAGCAATTTGAAGATGGTCCACTGAGATCTTGGTAGCTTTGTTTTCGTTGGGGGGGATCACCATGAAAAAGTTGTCATCAACCTTGAGCAGAGCTGGTTGGCAGGTGACATGTTCTCCTCCGTCAAGCATGAAGTTATCCAAAAATCGAGCGGATAGAAATGGTCTGCCCAGAGACAGCATAGTGTAAATATGGGGTTTGGAATGCAGTCAAGTTCAAGTACTGGACAACCCACTCGCTTTTCTCAACCTTTCCTCTAGTTGATTGAATTCAAGAAGTCAGCATGATGTGATGTTCGGTGAGTGGGAAAGAAAAATTAAAATGGATATGTGGCCTTACTGCGTAAACACATTGAAAACAAGCAATACGGCAAAAACCATCACCTGGGAAACATTTCCAGGTGCACATCGTGATTTGTGAGTCTAGCTACACACTCAAAAGAAATGATCACTAGGAGACAGGTCTTACAGATACCATGAGAACTAGATGAATATCCAAATCAGTCACTTTTGATATACGATCAATCTTGCTAGCACCAAAAGGACGCACTGAGTGGACCCATTTCACGCTTATCGTACTTTTTTGTCACGGGATACTCATCAAGAAATGAAAGAAAGCTTGGAAGTTGCATCGTCTTCATACCTTAATCCTGGGTTTCCGCTTGAGTCAACTTTTAATGAAATTTTGCAATGAGAATACTTTGGTTAAGATGGAAAAGTGGTTGGTGAAACGATGTGGCAATCTGAATCTCAAGCACTTTTTGAACCCAACGTGTCCAGATATATCTAAAGTGCAATCGGGATGGAGAGGCCGAAACCACTGACATGGACTCCAGCCAATGCCGGCAACCTGAACCTTACTGTAAACCTGAGTGCGACAGCATACTCAAGCTTCATCATATCATATCCACCAGATCGATCCCCATAAACCCTCCCTGAAGAATACTCCAGGCCCGCACGGGAAAGCTCCTTGAGGGATACTTTGCGGGTGTTTTATCGACATGTCAAACATGGGGAAGTTCACCAACATCTCCCCGCCTCATCCCCCCCAAGTTCGCCCACACGAGTTCGCACTCAGCGACTCATCCATTTTTTTCAAGTCCCTTATAAAAAAAAGCCTTATAAAAAAAAGCCTTATAAAAAAAGCCTTATAAAAAAAGCCTTATAAAAAAAGCCTTATAAAAAAAAGGGTCTTATTTTTTCTTTACTTCAAGTCCCTCATAATAATCCATCTTCGTTTATTCTCTAACATCTCATCCTAGTCTAGCGTAGTCAAACAAGTTGATCGCATCTTATGATAGACAATCAACTGGACAATTCCAGTATTTTTTTGGCTGGCTTTTGGATTATCATCGCCACTTTCCCCTTCATGTATGTATCAGCTCGTTATCCTCAGGAAAAGACTAACATCCGACTCCGAGCATAAATTAATTGTGTGTATGTATAAGTGCGTGTATATGTGGAATTGCGTGTATGCGTGTGCATGACTATGACCGAGTTATTTTAATCAAGTCGTTGGTACAAATAGATAATGAAACAATTTGGTTATGTAAGAAGAGCAATGAGAGAAATACAAGAGATCTAATGCAAATAATAAACAGATAAGAAAGGGTACATAATGAAAGTGAGAGATAAAAAATTGATAAAAAATCTTTTATTGTTGGGACTCTGAGGCTGCAGGTCGCCCATTGTCCGTCTCCTCCCCATCAAGCGCCTCATTGGCTTCGTTTTCTTGCCGCTCTTCTTCCGTTTGCTCTTCCTCATTGATTTCATCTTGCTGTTCATCTTCTTCCGAGCGATCAATCTCGTTCTCCTCGAAATTCAGTTTCTCTAGTGCATCGTCGATGTCCCCCATATTGCCACTTGTCAGTCGATCCTTGATAGAACTAATCACCTCAAACCAAGGATGATTAGCCTTGGTGTGCCGACTACGAGTCTGATTCCAAAGCGTTTTGACATCAAGCATCCATGATAGCATGAGCTTCTCATGCGCGAGTAAGTGTGCCTTCAGTTCCGATCGGAGCAAGCGCAGTTTACTTTTCATGGGAAAAATTGTTAAAATTTGAGCGAATCGGTTATTCATATCAATCGGTTCTTGAGATTCGGTTTCTAAGAGACTAATCGTGGAGAGGATTGAGGACCGGTACTGATACGCCCAAGTAATCATCCGATCGAGTTCTTGAGTAAGCAGCTCAATTTCTTCCTCTACTCGGTCCAAGAACAACACCGATTTCACACCCTTCCTTACATTGGGATCGAGAGCCCACGGCGCGCGAGCATGGTAAAAGTGGCCGTCATTCCAGAGGGGGTCGTCCAAGTCCATCGCCAGAAAATCGGAGTATGAAAGGTCCCGGTTTTCTGGCAACAACAGTTGTGAGGGGTTAAATTTGGTAAGGTATTGCCTTCGACGGTCGTTAAAGTTTTTGATAGCCCTTTCGACTGGACCCTTGCGACGATTGCCTGCTGCAAGAATTTTTTCCTTCAATCGTGTACCTGCGATGTTTCCGGATTGGGCTTTCTGAAGGGGTTGTCTCTCCGCTCGAACTTTAACTGCCTGAGCATAGAGCTCCGATTTGGCCTTCCAAAGTACACTCAACATCCCAAATTCAGCCTGGCGCGCTTGTCGAAGCTCTTCATAATCCTTTCCGATCGAAACAGCTAGTTGCCGCTGGGCCTCCACTCGCGTGTCAATGGAATCCAAGATTTCGTTTGCTTCACCCAAAGTTGCTGGCAATGTACCCCAAATAAGACGATCTCTGCAAAAGATTGCATTGAATCAAAGTTGGAAAAAATATGATTGATTTGAATCCAAAGCATGAAAACTTACTGATAGGCATTAATAATATCTTCGTTTTCAAAAAACTCTGCTAGGGTCTTCTTCGAAGCTTCTTCAATATCATCCTGCTGAAGACCCACACGAACTTGATCCTCCCACTGTGAACGGAAAAAGTCAATCAAGTATGTCTGATTGTTGTGTGGGTTTATCATCTGAAGTAGTTCAGTTAAGACTGCCTTTTTGGTATCGCGGCGGACCAAGGCCTGATCAAACTTGCTTCGGAGCCAAGCAGCTGAAAAATTAAGAGTGAGACATGAGCCAGTAAAACCATTGCATGTACTCAAAGGAAACTTACCTAGCTTAGCAATGCTCTGCTTGTTGCGGTATGTGCATCGGTGTGCAAGTGCACCCAATCGGTTATTCCGTGAAGCGTATCTCAGAGGACTGATCTGGGATGAAAGAGAAGACCAGAGCCGTTCTAGAGACTCGCCATCTGATAGTCCCCATCCCTTTTGATATCGGGGGTTGTATTTAAGCTGACAAGGCCATTCATGAACATACGCGTGGAAGACCGAGGTTCCAAACGTGATTCGGGAACGAGATTCTGGAAATATGGAGCGCTGCCGACCAAAAAATGAAATGTATATAAATATCTTGTAAACAAATGATACAGATACATTGATTAGATGATAAAAACTGCTTACTAAGTTAACGAACTTATCCAATGAGCACCCAAGATCGTATAGGACACCTACTGGCCTGTCTGATTCAATGTTCGCCAGTAATCGCTTGAGGATGACCAATGGGAGGGCTCGATTTTCACCTGTCCCATGAATGTTAGCTAAGTAGATTACAGAGTCATGACGACAGCATGACCCCATGACACCCGTATCGTCACAAGACTTCCACGTTGTTTCGTTTCGACTATCATTCCCTGCTTTATGGGTGTCAGCACATTTGTCGGCCTTTCAAATTAGAACACACACCCATCAGAAAACTACATGAAAAAAGTAAAAAGGAAAATTGTCTTGTTACAGAAGGCTTACCTTTCTTGGGACTTTGTGTAAACGTTCTTGAGCAGATATGTACAGTTTCAAATCAGACAATTGGCTAGGTTGGATGAAGATGTCGGGGGTAATTAGAGGCTCTGTGTTTCTGGCGGCCAATTTCTGATGTCGATGTTGGAAATTCCCGTCAAGCAACACTATTAGTTTGTTTTTGACAGAAGAAAGCCGATTCAGGCCGGTATTAGAACTAGGGCCAAAACAAGCTGGACAGGTCCCCGAGGCTAATTTCTGAGTGTTGTTCAAGTCTAGAGCTGTCTGGATCAAATCAACATTCATCTTGAGTAGTTCCCGATATACCAACACCGAAGACGATAGACACTGCTTCAAATCTCGCCCCTGCAGCAGAATTGTGAGATTATATTCATTTCACAGGAATATCAGCCTTACTTACCGCAGTTTTGCTGTGATTCCATAGCACTTGTGATCTCTCTTCATTGAAGAGCCTGTGAGTCTCGGTAAAAGGCTGAATGCGGACATTTGAGTGATGCCAAGCGTAGTTATGATATGCTAGGAGGCGCATTGAGAACCCGACGGTTGGCTGAACTGGGGAGCTTGGCAGAAATCCAATCGTAAGAAGTTGTACCGAACGGGGCATGCAGCGGCAAAAGGAGTACTCCATTCGTTCTTGGCCTGTTCAGGTTCAAACAAAAACAAAAAGTTGGATCAGCATTCAAGAGCTTTGATCAGAGCGAAATAACACCAATTTGCTTACCATTAAGGTCCACAAGATCAATTTTTTGTTTGAAGCGAGGTGAGTCATCTTTACACTTGCAGAATCGGGATGTGAATGGATCAAAGGAGCATGCTGCAGTCCAGTTTTCTGTTTTGTCCTTGAGCCACAGGTAGGATGAGAAAAGTTTAGTCATACATTTCTTCCAGTTATCTTGTCGAGAGTTGTGAATTGTGTTCCGGTCATGTTCACGGATTGATGCTGTGATTTGAGGATCTAAAAACAGCCCCCGGTTAGGATTGGCGGAGTTGCTAGAAGCCTTTACGTCCCAAGGAATTGAGTCCCATACTGAATCGACCAAGGATGACACAAGCGTTCCATTGGGTGGGCCCTCGGCATGAAAATCGTTGTGCTCACTGTGTTGGTTGTCGTCCCATTGACCGAAATCCTCATGGGTTGTTGAGGATGGCTGAGAATGGTTTTGGGGGATGGGTGGGGGTTGATAAGTTCGTCGCTTGAGTCCAGTCAGAGTGTCCAGGGCTTGAGAATCATGTACCGCATGACGGAGTCTTTTCTTCTTCTCACGGGCGGTCTCGTGTTTGAGAGGGGTTGATTTTGAAATCCGGGCCATAGTCAACGTTATTGCCCTCAATAGTTGGTAACTGAAAGGAATCTAGGAGATCACAATGGCCAGAGGATCACGGAATTCAGTCAAACAAAAAGAGGTCAACAGGTATGAACAAGAAAAACATGGCCCTCCCATGCCTTGCCATTAAAATTCAAATTTGCATATGTGAAGAGGGGAAAGGGTATTTATCAAGTAACTTTAATGTAAAAACATCCAAAGATTCTGCATGAAACACAAAAAAAACAAGAGAAATGTAACCCGAATGTTGCCCTTATGCTTTACCCAATGCTTTAAAAATGCTTATACCTTTGAAGTTATTTGTATTGGTAATGATACATAAATATCCCAGAAGTGAACAAAGATAAGTTAAATTTAAAAATATTTATGCCTTTGAATTAATTTTTATTGGTAAAATATCCCCCAGATTATTCTAGCTCTATCCCAAAAAAAATTCTATCAGCAACCAACTTTTAACATGGTGATCAGCCATGGCACTGGATATTCTGAACCAGGATATTATCATCTTTTTCTTGGAGATATGATTTCAATTTCATGGTAGTGCACAGGTATATATTTTTTTCTGTTATGTGTGATTTTCAAATTACCCCTACTTTTCAAGTAGTCAAATTGGTTTGTGGAGTCCAATTGAGTGGTGGTCAATCAATGAGAAATCACATGTTTGGTCAGAGTGCACAAGCACCACACTTGAATTCTCATTTGATATACTTGCAAGGTTACATGGCAGGAAATACAGGAAATATTTTTGATCAAATGCCTCAGAACCATGCAAGTCTGTTGCAATTATTCCAACTGAGTGGTGGTGATTGACAAATCATGTGCTTGGGCAACACATATATATGACTTTACAATGGCCACCATTCTGTTGAACTACTTGCAACAGTTCCAAGGTTCTTTTGATGTCTCATTCAAGTATGTTGCAAATAGTCCAACTGGGTGGTGGTCATTGAAAAGTCATATGTATGTGTCACCCAAACATATGATTTCTCATAGATCAACACTCACTCAGTTGGACTACTTGCAACATACTTGCATGGCTCCAAGGCTAATATGATTTCTTCAAATACTTTCACTCTGTTGAAATAATTGCAACAGTTTACAAGGTTATTTTGATGTCTCATTCATGTATGTTGCAAATAATCCAACTGTGTGGTGGTCATTGAAAAGTCATATGTATGTGTCACCCAAACATATGATTTCTCATAGACCAACACTTAGTTGGACTACTTGCAACATACTTGCATGGCTCCAAGGATAATATGATTTCTTTGAATACTTTATTAATTGATTTCCATGACTTTGAACAGTCCAAATATGTTGCAAGTAGTGGTGATCAATATAAAATCATACATGTTTGTGCACTTCAGTGACTTAATGACTTGACTCACCCAATTGTATGTATTATTTATGATTGATCATCACTCAGTTGGACTACTCATAACATACTTACATGGTTTGATTGACTTCCATGACTTGGGAACATGAAAACAAGTTGCAAGTAGTCTAATGTGGGCATTTAAAAATAATTTGTACATTTGGGTACAGTGCCCTAATACATCTATCACATTGACCAGCACTCAGTTGATTGCTTGACTTTGTCCCTTCAGCAAAAAAGAAAAACAACTTAGCTGTATGCCTCAGTGTAATAAGCATGCTACATGCAAATAATTTATCTCATTAGATGCTACACTTGAAATCATGTAAACAAGGAATTATGTAGTACCCTCAGTCAGACTGTTTATGAAAATTTATTCTTTGTTTGTGACTTGCTACCAAATTTTACTACATAATTTTGTGTTTGATGTTGCATTGAGTTAGCAAAATTTGTGCAATGAATGTGATTATCACAAGCTGTGATAGGTCTTAAAGTTGGCACTTTCTTGCAGAAGGGGAAGGGTTTGTTTTTGCCATCTGCAACTGGACTTGCATGGTTCCAAGGCATCTTCTCTTCCATAAACTTGTGCAAGATATTCTCTCACTTGCACGGAGTGGTGGAAAAACCTCCCTATTATGTTGAGGGACTCAATACATCCTGAATTTCATGTTCCTTCTAGAGTGATCCTAAATTTCAAATTACTGTGATCCTGAATCTCACATTACTTCTGGGGTGCTGTTCCTGAAATATTCTTCCATAACAAAAAGGAGAATCATTAAAAGCAATGTTGGTAAGCTTGAAGTACGGGGCAATATTCTAGCATTGACACAGCTTTCAAGCTATTCCCCTTAACTATCCCCCTTTTTTCCTGCAAGTTGCTATTAGTTGCAACTCATCTTGAATTCCATATAACTTTTTGACTGATTTGATATCAGGTTTATTTTCTCAAGTTGAAGTGGACATTTACTTTGCATTCATTCCTGGAATACCATGGTACACACTTTATCACAAATCCTTCAAAAAAAATTTAACATGACAACAATTTACATGTTTATTCCTGCTGGACTGAAAAAAGCAGGTATCAAAGTCCCAAAAGGGGTCATGATAGCCAGCTATCTGAATAAATATGATGGTTACCAATATGCATACATTCACCAGGGGAGCTTTGGGGGCACTCCCCAGGGAGTGCCTTATCTGTAACTTTTCATGTGACTGTGTCTAATGTATAGTATTTCATTAACATAACCAAGTGTGAATGGTTTTTGAAATCAGGTAGAAATCATCTGAAACCCAGCTGGTACTCATCTGAAACTCAATTGCAACTAAACTGGGCACATAATACAAATTGGCTACAAAGTTTTGTCATCAAAGTGGAAAGCATTGCTCAAACAATTTTAATACCAGGGGGTTACTTCCAGCTGAATGGGGCCAGAAATGTTCCACCTTCATTTTATGGTTGGACATACTCCTCTTGTGAAAAGTGTGTGATATGTCACCGCCTTGCGCTCAAGCGCAATGCGGTGACATGTCATGCATGTTTCACACCAAAGGGGCAAGTCCATTTGAATGGTGTCTGAACCATGACACCCTCATGCAACTGGTGGACATTCCCCTCTGGTCTCAACAGTGTGTGATATTTCACCCTATTGTACACGAGTACAATAGGGTGACGAATCATAGACTGTTCTGAACAGGAGGGGCATGTCCCCTGGGTACACTCAGCTGGACATGGCCCTCTGATGTGAAAAGTGTGTGATATGTCACCGCCATGCGCTCAAGCGCATGGCGGTGACGAATTCATCCCTATTCGTAACAATAGGAGGAAGTTCACCTGGGTGGAGTCGGAATCCATGGCCCCTCAGATGAGGTAATGCCCATACCCGTCTGTCGCCACACGGTCGAGAGTGTCCAGGGTACAGTACACGAATGCTATACAGTAGACGATCATCTCGGTTTGTTATCTGTGTGAGCAGTGCCACTGTCATGAATCAGATGTACATGCCCCTTTGATGTGAACAGTGTGTGATATGTCACCCGCCATGCGCTCAAGCGCATGGCGGTGACGAATCATAGGCTGTTCTGAAGAGGAGGGGCATGTCCCCTGGGCACACTCAGCTGGACATGGCCCTCTGATGTGAAAAGTGTGTGATATGTCACCGCCATGCGCTCGAGCGCATGGCGGTGACATGTCACACACGTTTCACACTAAAGGGGCATGTCCATCTGAAAGGTGTCTGAACAGTGACACCCTCATGCAACTGATGGACATTCCCCTCTGGTTTGAACAGTGTGTGATATGTCACCGCCATGCGCTCGAGCGCAAGGCGGTGACATGTCACACACTTTTCACACACAGTTCAGACCAGAGGGCGATGTCCTGCTGAGTGAGGCCCAAACTGTGTCACCCTCATGTACACAGGGTACATGCCCCTGTTCTGAACAGCATGTGACTTGTTGCCCTATTTTAATCATGTACAATATGGTGAAAAATCACACACCTGTTACATGACTTTCAGACCAGAGGGGCATTTCCAGCGGAATGGTTTCTGAATGGTGTCAGTCTCATGAACCCAGTGAACATTGCCCTCTGGTCTGAACAGTGTTTGATAGGTGTGTGATATGTCACCGGATTGCGCTCGAGTGCACTGCGGTGACATATCACACACTGTTCAGACCAGAGGGTTTTTGCAGCTGAATGGTGTCTGAACTGTGTCACCCTAATGTATGGTACTTTAATTGGAAATGTAGAAACAAAATCATGACTGAGTTTGACTAGAATTCAGCATGGCTTCAACAAACGTGAATGATAGTTGGAAGTGAATAATTATATTTTATTTAACAAATATATTGTGTTATATAATGAAATAGTTCAACAAAAACATGGTCATGACTTCAAATGAACTTCAGGCAAAAAGTAACAAAGAATTAAGCTATGGCAATCCCTGGGAAGTGGCCCCAAAGCTCCCCTGGTGATTCACACTCCTTTTTGAGTTTCCAGATATTTCGGCCCCTCGAACCTTTCCATTCATGATATCTTTTCAGGCACATCTAACGTCGGCTTAATCTACCAGAGTTTTATTCCATAGTCTCAGCTCTTTTCCACTTAATCCTGATTATTTCTGCCCAATTTCATCCAAACCACTCTATCTCATCAGTCATATGGCCACCTCAGGCTTCAGGATAAACTCCGGTTTTTGTGTAGGTTCACATTTGTCTCGGGGGGATATGAATCACTCAACGATATCTGAAGGCCAGGCCACCACCACCACCTTGGCCATATCTCAAGTCCAAGTTCCTCTTACCTCAACAACATCTCAAAGCCAGGCCACTACCTCGACCATATCTCAGGGCCCTGCCCCTGACCCTAACTCAACCATATCTCAACACCCGACTCACAACAACCACTTTGCAGCCAACAACGAAGACGAAGACGGTCTGCGCGGTACAATGGAAGATGACCATAACATCGATGAAGCGTCATTTCGGAAAAATCAAATGAAACTTTCCGACTCTCAAATGGAACCCTTTGCAACGATGGATCTTGCAGCCCTTACCGCAGCCTCAAAATCCTATTCCACTAGACGACGTATGACAGACGATATGAAAGAAGAAGTCGACGAGATGTACTATGAATTCCAATGCAATATTGCCAAGTTATCAATCCAAAATCGTGTTGGAGCGCATCTTTATTTTGATCATGTGGGTCAAAGCCGAAGAGTAAGAGCCGGAACCTCCTGGAACAATTTTCAGAAATACGATCCCGAGGCACAGAAGATGTTTGATGAATGTGAATGAAGACTTGAATTTCACACATTTTCTCCTTTGCTTGCTGACTAAGTTTCTTTTTCTTTGCTGTGATTTAGTTGGTCTCAATGTTGGACGTTCCAAGGTCTCTGCCATATGGGCCAGGAAGACTTGGCCAGAGAAACTCCGATATCGAGACGTGGACTACTTGAAGACCTTGCGTGAAGTCACGACCAATTCTGGGGAATCTAATGTACCTCACCCGGGAACCGTATTACATGCGCCGACAGGAAGCAGTCCAACTCGATTAAATGGAAGAGTCCAACTCTCAAAGGTTTCTTTGGAGAAAACATCATCTTTGGTAGCTAATTGGGTGACTAAAATACAATCCGATGTAAGTTCTTTTCATTTCAAAAAAAGGAATTGATGTTTTAGAAATTGACCACCGGTTCTACCTGCCCAGTTGGATTCATTCGCTTTCTTTCATCAAGTTGAGGGCTTTTATGTCATTGCCTCTCGACATCCCAAGAGCACCATCTTTCACAAAGGTGGCTCTTCGGTTGGTAACAAATTTCTACGAATGTTAGCTCAGAATAAGGAGACCGACCCCGCAGCAGATTTTCATACCTGGACGGCTGCCCAAGCGATTCAACTTAGCAACGGATGCGGGACAACTCTTCATCTTCAAAGTCGTATCAAGACTGTTGATGATGTTGCAGAGAAGTTTCGAGCTGGTGAGTTTCTAATTCTTGGCCACCCTCACATTCTTATTCACCCTCACATTCTTATTGACATTGGACAAACATGTAGGGAAGCATGCCGACAACATCAAAGCTATACGAGACAAGCTGAGGCATCTAATTTGTAAGTAAAAACCCTGTCTTTCTTCTGCATTGCTTCCTGAATTTTGCAACCAACTTGATGTTTTAATATACATCAATAGATGTTGCAAGTGGACATAAACTCAATTCTCCATGGCCTGGTGAGGATACCGATTACCGATTACAAGAGTTGAAATTTTCATTTTCGATAGACGACAATCAATGGAACATCGAACCAAACGACTTGAAAAAACCGTTAGTCAAATTGAATTGCGGAACAGCTATGGGGATCTTGGCATGCTTGGGTTTGAACAAGATCCATTTAACCTACCATCCCGACTGGGAGGACATCTCACCCCGTCCCCGAAAAAAACAATCAAACACTAACAAGCGTAAGAACAAAAGAAATCGCAAGGATGATGAGAATGAGGATGAAGATGAGGACGAAGATGAGGATAACGAGGATAATAATAATAACAAAAACCCTAGTGAGTCTAACTCAGGTAACCAACCTCAACACAAGCGTCTTCGTATCAATGCTGCCACTGACAATGGGTTTCAAGCAGGCAACCAACCTCAACGCAAACGAACTCGTACTGATGCTGCCACTAACAGTTCTACCGCTGACAATTTGTCTGAGTCGGGTAACCAACCTCAAAACCATCCCAATCGTAATGATGGTGCCACTAACGGTTCTACCACTCTCAACAAGAAGAAGCGTTTCCGGCCAATCAAAACGGCCAGTAAGACCCTTAGTGCAACCACTGCTGACACCAATCAGTTAGAATCAAACAAGGGTAATCCGGCTGACAACAATCGAGCGGATGTATCAGGCGAGGGCAATCCACCTGGCGAGGGTGCAACCAATGCTAATGAAACCCCCGATAATGACCCTACTTTGGACCCACTCCTTGCAGCACTTGTTTGAGTGGTGCATACCTTAATTGAGGGTTATATATACAGCTTACGACAACGCCGGTCTCGGTCTTTTCTTTGATTCATAATATTGAATCTCAATCTATACTCCCTTACATATTTTCTCCTCTTACCTGCTTTCAATGCTGTTTCTGCCCTACTGCCTGCTCTACTGTCTTCTCCACCACCTGCTCTGCTCTACTGTCTGGTCTGCTCTTAACTGCTTATTGATACTGTTTCTACTCTACTGTCTGCTCTACCGTCTGCTCGGCTCTACTGTTTCTGCTCGGTCGTCTGCTTTACCGTCGCTCTACTGTCTGCTCTACTGTCTGCTCTGGTCTGCTCTACTGCCTTCTGTTTACTCGCTTGGTATGATGAATCTACACTATACACACATGATGTCCTACAACTACACACAAGCAATACATCAAGTTGGTTTGGCATCTCCACCGACATGAATCTCACGCTTGGAAGCCTTGTTCTCCAAGAAATGTTTGTTCATTATGTGTCCTCTTAAGACCTCTTGTGAGATGAGAATATATGAATCAATGGATGCAATCAGCGAACTGATAATGTTCATTTAAATCGGTCGACTTTTTCCTGCCAAAGTACGCAGGGAATCCTCAGGGATTGTACGATATAAGATAGATCAAATCAAGAAAAAGATTATTTCATTTGAACAAGTAGTCGGTACTAGAGCGTGACCAGAGAAAGGTCGGTACATAGTCGGTACACAAGAGACGATTGACGATGAAGGTTAGAAGGGGTGAGGGGGATGAATCAAACGGGGTTGATTCTATAGCAAGGATAAAAAAAATAATGACAAAAATGATGAAAAATAAATAAATTTGGGACGCTTTTTTATAAGGGACTTATAAGTGAAAAAATGACGAAAAAATAAGACTCTTTTTTTATAAGGGACTTAAAAAAAAGGATGAGTTGCTGAGTGCGAACTCGTGTGGGCGGACTTGGGGGGGGGGATGAAGCGGGGAGATGTTGGCGAACTTCCCCATGTTTGACATGTCGATAAAACACCCGCAAAGTATCCCTCAAGGAGCTTTCCCGTGCGGGCCTGGAGTATTCTTCAGGGAGGGTTTATGGGGATCGATCAGGTGATCATATCCGAGTCATGCATTCATAGGAGTTCAAATTGCGGTGTCAAATTTTTTGATGCAGTGATATTACCTCAAGCTGACGAAGAGAAGGGCATTCTCTGGCATTCTGCGTACACTGTAGCTCAGCTCGTGACTCCACCAGAGCTTTAGTCACACCGGTTTCAATGCAAAACCAATCTCGCTGTGGCAGCAGTGCCGCGAAAAGAACCTCAGACCTCGCACCGGTGCAGCTCTGATATCGCGAGGCGTGTTCTAAGCAGATTTACGGAATTTCAGGCTTGACAGAGTCATTCAAATCCACCTCTTTCCCACGAGTTTTGCCTCAGTTCATCCAACATTCATTTCCCCTGTAACTCGAGTTTTCATCTCCTCCAAGTGCCAGTCTTTGGATCAGTAAAGCTCAGGCAATCACAAAATTAATTTGAAGGCAAGTTCCTTTTTTAATTTATTTCTTGCGATTAAGATTTACAAACTTCAAAATCGGGAAGAAAGAAAAGAAGATGAGCAACGTGCAAAGTGCAAAAAAGCCTATAACAGGACCCCCCCCCCCTTTGAGTAGCTTTTAGGTGCCCGTTGGCGACCGTCAAGCCAAGATTATGAGTGCATTTAATGCGAATTACGGCTTTGGGTAGGTTGGGAGGACGACCATGATTGAGCAGTCATGTAGTGCGGACTTGAATCTCTTGAAGTCGGATGAGCAGAAGTTGACAGAATTGAGCCAGTGGATGAAAACATGAGAACTCAAGCCTCTCTATTAAGAGAAGCGGTCCTCCCTGCACCAGGGGGACTAGTGTTAATTTCGATGAAAACAGGAGTTGGAGTGGGGATAGGGCCGGCTGTGCTATTCCAACTCCAAACTGGTCCGCCGAGTGGGCTACCATTAGCGCGATGCCGAGGTTGGGAAAGACAACTTCAATGGGTTTGCCACGATATGATCACGGGGGATTGCCACCGGGTCAAACTGCCCATGTTGTGAATGAAAAAAGGGTCCCAGTTTTCATCTGGCCCGTCGAATGAGCTACCAGTACTAGTGGAGGAAGCCGGAGAGACTGAGAGACACACTCACTCCCTCTTGAGATAGAAAGGGCTTACCACCGGGACAGATCGAGTATCTGAAGTGTGGACCAATAGAAAACAAGATTTCAATCCTAATGTGATCTGCTGAGTAAAGTACCATGAACACGGTGAAGAGGCCGAGGAGACAAGTGCTTCGTTTGTCTTTGAGGTGAGAGGGCTTGGAACCACGAGATGGCCGGCTTTGTTAATGATCGCGATTTTGAATTAGTTCGCCGAGTGAGCTACTATACATCATGGCGCGGTAATCAACTCGGTCCATAGTCATACTCAGATCAGGGGGCTGAGAGAGAACCTGGACTGGTCGTGCGGTTATGTATGTGGTATTGCTCTCATCTTTTTGGCCAGGACCGGTCTATAAAAGGAGGAGTGTCTCTGTCTCCCATCATCTTTCTCTCATCACAGTCATCACTTGATACCGTCCACCAACTCACTCGATTGTTCGCGCTCTTGAATTCTAACACCTGCTATCCACCCTCAAAATACAAGAATCGCTTGCTAATCTCCACTCCTGCAGCGGTGAACTCTTCAACCGTGCACTTGTCCTCTCAACAAAATGGCTCGTACTCAATCCTCATCGCAGCCCGGGCTCTTGCATCAAGACTTGTGCCTCAAATTAAGTCTCGAATCGCAGCCCCAGTACCTTATCAAAGCGTGACGAACAACACCAACAAAGCAGCAACCGCATTGAATTCAAAGGCCATCAGATTAGCTACACCGAGACCCGTCGAAGCGTCTCTCCTCATGCTTCAACCCGTCGAAGCGTCTCTCCTCATGCTTCAAGTCCAACTCAAACTTCCAGCCAAAAACAGCGACCAACAAGATCTCTAATTCTGCAAGTCAGTCTCCTATGGCCCTATCCTCACCATCCTTTTTTCTCTACTTTGACCGGTTCAAGAGGTAGTGAGAAAGTGCTACAAACAATCCACCTTGGGCAATACTTCTGATTAATGAAACCCATTCAAAGAAAAAGTTGAAGAAGATCAGCTCATCTGTGAATCCTGATTCAAAGAAATTTTACAGCTTATCCTTGGTGCTCACCTAACATTCATACTGCAGCTCACAAATACTATATTGGCTCGAAAAACGAATCAAACCATCAAGTCAATAATGATCTTCTCTCAATATTCCTGCAACATAATGGGGGGCTACAAGTACGTGGATGATGCTGATGACAGACAAAAACTGCATCTTCAACAAAAGTCTCCAATCAATCTTACAACCACAGCCACAGAAACCAATGATCTGATCCCCATGCTAGGATTGATTTCCTTGAATTTGAGATATAGTTGATCATATGTTTCATTTTTCAGTTGAAAGCATGCATAAAATCATGAACTTCAAATTTCTTCTCCTTACAAGTTACAATCAATCAGCATGAGAAAATTGAATTATTTGATTTTTTTTATCATCTGTTTAGATGATCACTGGATCCAACAGCAGAAGTTGGATAAAAGTTGTATTGAAAATTCAACCAATTTCAACTTTTGATTGTGGTAGATGGATAGAAAAGAGTTAGGCCCTGTTTGTTAGTGCAATTTAGCACCGTAATGTAGCAGTGTAATGTGTGAAAACCCCATAAAATTGGACAGAGTTTGAGCGGATTTTACACATATTACACTTGCACAAAATTCTGAAAAAGGTAGCCTTTCAATTGATAAACATATCAATATTTTTTTTTTTCAAATTTGATTGGAAAGTTCCTATCTAAGAACAACAACAGCAAAAGAGAACAGGAAGTAGAAAATTCAAGTGAGGCATCAAAGCATTCATGATATCTAGTAGACTATAAATTTTCCCATGCCAGCCATTTTGAATGATTCATCTTCATACAATGTCTACATTTTGATTGTCAAGGGTATCGATTTTGGTCTGAGTAGCTTGGTCTATTTTCTGGTTCTCCTTACGCCTGTCGTATTGACGAGCAAACTGAAATCAAAAACACAAGCCTGAAAGTCAGCTTGAATTTTTCTTCACAGAGTCATAAAAGATTTTCAGCTGATTTCGAAAAAAAAAGAAAAAAGAAAAACCAACAGCAACAATGACATAAGAAAAAATTGCCGAAAATACACCTGCGGAGCTCCCCATCGTGACCGACAAAATCTTTAGGACAGGAAGCCAAACTTTTGTAGTCTTAGTACATAAATAAGTAGCTCCTATTGTCTTTCTGTGTAGATCATCAGCTGCTAAGTCCATTATCCAAACGTTGAATGAAAGTGAGTGGTTGAACACTGATGACAAAGCTTCAGGTATAGTTCCCAGAGTCTTGTCGTGAGATCCAAATGGTACGATTGGTCCAATACCATTGACTGTGATTCTAAAAAAGCTACAAAATTGATTTTGGCATGAGGTATGATAGGAAGTGTTGAATGCATCAAAGAAACTAGTTGGTTGTGTTGAATTATCCATGAAAATTGTTCCTTGAGGCGGAGGAAGCAGTTGTGGAGGAAACTTTATATCATATCTGCTAAACTGAGTTGCTGGTATCAAACTTAGTCCTCCCAACCACATCCCTATTTCTGCAATATCACGTGGACTGATTGTTGGCTTATAGCTTCTGTAGTAGTCTTCCTGAAATTCGGTATAATTTGGGGGGAATGCTGATAAGGGCAATTTGTAGAGTGGTATAGCAAGCTGTGGATGAAAAGTATCGAATCCACGACTGCAGATGGTAAATCTCAAACCTATCAGATTCATTTAAACATGTAGAAACAATCAATTCAGTGAAAAAGATAAAGGATCTGCTCACTAGATATTTTCAGCGCTTAACCAAAATTGACCAGTCGATTTGCGGAATAAACTGATGTGAAATGATGTAGAGATGACTCAAAAATTATTCATGCAACAACTTTAAGAACTTTGTGGAGTGCTCTTACTCGTCTGATACTGCACTTAAGGAATTGCAAAACTTCGCCTTCAAAGTATTATTACCAATCAAACAAGTGCCGCAAAAGCTGCCAAGGAAAACGGATGGGTTCCCATGATCAGGACCAAACTCCACGACTTTCATTTGTTCTCTGTGTAGATTTGGTGTAAGTCGGCTAAGATCCTACATGTACTGCATGTTTGCATCTTGAAATTGGTAAGTCGACTTCACAAAATTGGCCTGAAACACATGGCAAATCAACACGGGCAAAACATGAAATCAAGAGTATTAGATGAAAAATTAACCCACTGTGCAGTTTGTTATTTCTCCTCTATAGAAGAAACCTGTAGCTGCCTTCCTTGATCCTGTATTGGGTTGATCTCCAACCTCCACCAGGGTCCATTTGAATGACATACTTGAGTGGGTTGCACTTTGAAAATCTTCTACTGAATTCATGGGAGCTTCATTTTTGTCTGGGGGGATGACCATGAAGAAGTTATCATCAACCTTGAGCAGAGCTGGTTGACAGGTGACATGTTCGCCCCCCTCAAGAATCGATTTATCCAAAAAACGTGTGGATATAAATGGTCTTCGCCAAAAAAAAAAGGTTGCGTCAATCTGGCGGTTGGCATCCAGTTTAGTTCAAGTGCTGGATAACCCACTCGCTTTTCTCAACCTTTCCCCTAATTGATCGAATTCAACAAATCAGCACGATTGGATGTCTTGTGAGTAAGGAAATAAAAGTCAAAATGGAAAGGTTGCCTTACTGCGTGAACACGTTAAAAACAAGCAATGCGACAAGAACCACGACCTGGATAAGATCATGTTCAGGTGCACATCGTACTCAGTGAGTCTAGCTTCATGAGTCATGAAGAGAAATTATCGCCAGCAGATATATCTTACAGATGCCACAAGAACTGAAACATAATCTAAATCAGCTACTTTTCAAATCCTTGGGCATTAACATAAAAAATTCACCCACTTAGTGGACCCATTTCGCGCTTATTGTATTTTTGCGTCATGGGATACTCATCTAGGAAAGAAAGAAAGCCTGGAAGTTGCTTCATCTTCATAGCCTACTCCTGGGTTTCAGTTTCTTTCAAATTTCGGTATCCCAACGAGATTTATAATCAGGTTCGGAGTCGCTTTGATTCGGACTGGAAAATTGGACGATGGAGATAATGTGTGGCGATCTGAATCTGGAGAAAATTGCAACCAGGTTCCAAATCAAGGCGCCAAGATATTTATAGCGAATGAGCATGGAGCAGCCAAAATTACTGGCATGGTTTCCATCCCGTACCGCTTGCTGTGTACCTGTGTGCGACAGAACCTGACAGAATATTCACCATGTCATATCGGAGTCAAACATTTATTTGGAGGTTGTATATTTTTGCAAGCTGACAAAGACAGGGGCATCCTGCCCGGCTCATAACTCCTCAAGAGCTTAACACAAACCCCTACATTACATATTTCCGGCTGTGGAAGGCCGTGTCACCAAACAGACTCGTATCCTCACATCACTGCATCTGTGACCCCATGCCAAAAAAGCTGGACGCAACCAGATTTAAGGCTTCACAGAGTCATGTGTGGGTAGAAAGGTTTCTTTTTTACCTCAGTTGACCAACACATCCTTGAAATCCATTTAGCGCTCATCATTCCTATGGTACTCTTGTCGGAGATGCGCCGTAGCACATCTCCTAGGGCAGCAGTGGAATAAATTCCTCCAGCTGTCCGGAGTGTGGGATGGTAACTAAATCTGAATTCTCATATGGAGTCAGATCTACTGGGGACCATGGGAAATGATTAATGTGTATTACTAAGAAAAAACTATTTTTATTTTCTTTCTTTCAATCTTCAAAATAGGAAATGAAATAGGTTTAGGAACAAGAAAGAACATTGGTTACTAAACCACTTGTAGGGTGGGTGGGAGGTGAGAGAAAATTTATAAAGCTGATAAATTAAGTAGAGTTTGTAGAGAGTTGAGAATGAGAGATAAGATTTGGTTTGCGGATGAAGGAAAGTTGTGTCGAATCTTCGAATTGGGAACTTTAAGGGGTGTGGAGAAAACTTTGCTTCAAAGCCCAAAATAGCCTGGTTTGTTTTTGGACTTGACCAGGGCTATTTTGTGCCTGTCCAAAACCAATCTTATCCGCGCACATGGACCCCGGCACCTTCCCTTAGTGCCTTGATCAGGTGCCATACATGATTAGTGGGTGGTGCGCGCATCACTAAATTCTTGAAGGGGATTTGGGTATAAGGGACAGTCTTGATGGACAAAATACACTGGCGGGGTACCTTGAACCACCCTGGAAGGCATTGCTGAATCAAACCGGGCTGATGATGAATTATTCAAAGAGCTGAAGTGAGGATGTGTTACTCCGACTCCGGACTGGTTCCCCTAGTGAGCTACCTATCGGCGCAACGGAGAGGCCGGAGAGACCGGATCACTCGGTTCGGCGTGATATGAGAGGGGCTGGCCACCGGATCAAACTGACTACCCTGAGGCTGCAAAGTGTAATCCAAGAAAGCGCCCCAATTTCGATCTGGCCCGCCGAGTGAGCTAGATACCACCAGCACGGTCGAGAGTATAACTATTAGCGCAATGGAGAGATTGAGATAGGGAGGGCTCGCCACCCGGATAGACGGCCTCTCCGCAGTGTGGACTAATACAGTGGGGCGATTGCATTCTGGTCCGGCGGCGAGTGAAGGACCATGGGCGCGGTGAAAAGGCCGAAGAGACAAGCGCTTCGTGATCGTCGGACGTGTCAACCAAGAGTTAATTGACTGGTCCGCCGAGTTAACCACTATGTAGGCCGGGACCCTTCTCCGCTCTCAATTTTAGTGACAATACCTCTTCTTCTTCCGCTAGTTCTGTTCGATCTGATGATGATTGTTTAGACTCTTTCACCGACTCCTCTAACCTGTCGTTCTGTTTCACTTCAGTCACCTCCTATGGATTCTCTCG